TGTGTGTGTGTGTGTGTGTGTGTGTGTGTGTGTGTGTGTGTGTGTGTTTAATGGCTTCTCAGTTCCCATCAATATCTGCATTAGCTGCACAGGATTGGTCAGTATCATCAACTAGTCGCCCAACACCTGACTACACTGTCAAAAAAAACATTATCCCAATATTTGTTCATCAGCTATCTACAAATCATTAAAACAAGATGCATTTACTTGAGAAGCAAAATTGCATAATATATTAAGACTTGTCTTCGTATATATATTTTCAAATAAGTTTACTCTTTAATTATGGTAATAATAATATATTACACAAAGTTGCATAATATATTAAAAAGGATATTTTTTCTTCTTCGCTAGATCTCATTCTTATAACGAGAATATATATTTAAAAATATCAAATTATTACATTTAATTTAAATCATTAAATTATTCAAATAATTTCATTTATTACAAAATATTTTAAAAGTATGTCAAATTTGTGCAAATCTAAAAAGACCATAATAATAATAATTTTATATACAAAAAAATTATATAAATATTTTTTTAATTACATTTAATTTAAAATAACATTGTTTTAATAAAAAAAAATACTTTTTTAAATATTCTTGTTATAAGGTTAAAATATAGTGAAGAAGAAGAAGGGAAAATACATTTCTTAATACATTATGCAGTTTTGCATAATATTAAGCACATATATCCTATTCAATGATGTTTACATATTTTTACTGTAAAACAAGACAAAAATACAAATTAAGAAAATATGTGAGTAGAATTGCAGTTTACAACATGTCTAGTTAACAGATATTACTTTTAAACATATGCCTCTAACCCCTCTCGTCCAGTAGTTTTTGAAAGCAAAACCCTAAAGCAGCCTAATTATACCTAATTATTTGAATAATCATTCTGACAAACCGCAGATTATTTCATTTTGAAAAAATGTAGTTTTGTGCATCGCTGCTCTGTACCTCTCACTTCCTCCTGCATCTCTCTCTCTTTGATGTTAACTAAGGCTGTCTGGCTCTGTAGCATGTGCCAGGCTGAGGTTAAATAGATGAAATATGCTGACATAAAATCAGGCAAACAGCTTTAGCACAGCACACACGGAACAGTGACTGGTTATATCAAAGTCCCTTTAACAGAACACATTAAAATGCCCCTGGACGTAGCCGTGAACCAATAGAGACCTATGAGGTAATGAGGTAATGGAAAAAGAGAGAGATTTGTCATCACTTTTCCAACTAAATAACTCTTAAAACTCTGCTTGTGTCAAACCGGCCGCGTGCTAACGCTGGCATTGTGCTATAAAAGCGGCATGGATCTTTTATTCAGCCCGACAAAAGAATCAGGCCACTCTGAGGCTCTTATTTTCGTCATTCTTCCATCTTTATCTCTCACACCTTCTGTGCCTCTCACCTTTCCATCTCACAGCTCACACTTGCTCTCTTACTTCTCTTTTCTCTCAGTAATAGGGTTTGGTGCTGTAGAAGATTGAGGGGAGACGTCGTGTGAGTGTGTGTGTGTGTGTGTGTGGTGGGTGGTCCGTGCCGTGCCTCGTCGCTCTGGTCTGGCTGAGTCTAATTGCTGGTGTTGTGGTGCTAAAGTCATCCGGAGAGCTGCGCGGAGCCGGTGGGGGAAAATTGAACAAGCATCACCCGTCAGGAGTGCTTCCACTCAGAGCAGCTGTCAGCCTGCCCTGTTTACCTGCTACACAATTATCATCCTCCCCCGGGGAACCCTATGGAACAACCCATCCATCCTCTGGGGGACGAGGAGGGGCCATGGGGGAAGCGTGATGGTCGAATATCGCAGAGGGAGATCGCTGACTGAATCTTAGTGTTAGCGGCTGGAAGTAAATTAAGCATACAAAAGTCTGTGAGGGGTTACAATATGTTGCAACAGAGACGTGCAAAGCCGTGAGGGTGAAAGAATAAGGGCCAGTTCACACAGAAAGTGTTTTTGCATTCCACCACACTTAATTGTCTGTTTAGCTAACCGTGTAATTGTTTCTCTGTGCTAACATGCAGTAAACGGACATTTTTTGACCAATTAGCAGCATTTCGACTGCTCTTTTGCTGTTTTCTGCTGTCCATTATTTCTGAAGCAAGCCTCATAAAAATGAATCTTAAGACCTTTGTAATTTTTTTGTTTACTTCTGATATACAATGCGTGTTTAATTTTTTAAGCAAAATTGTATCATATATGTACACTTTTTTGAGAATATTTCATAAAGTTTGTTTTTAATATTTTTTTTAATTCAGTATTTTTTTTTTATATACTTAATATAAAATGTAAATGTAAATTAGCAAAAAAAATTTAAAAAGGTGAAATTATATAATTTATAAATAGCTATAAATGATTATATAATAATCTAAAAATGTTATAACAAAAATTAAAGTAGGTTTTTGAACTGTATATTTAAACAATATTTAAGATTTTAAAAAGCAATAAAAATTACCACAATTCTTTTTTACAATTGTGTATAAAAGGATGCATTTAATTTTAATTCAAAATATATATTAATAGAGTGCACATAATTATATACAGTATGTATCAAAAAATATAAAAACAATATAAAATGTAATATATATATATATATATATATAAACCATTATGTATGTATAAAATAAGTTACATATTTTTGCTTATTACGTTTTTATACATTTTAATAAATTGTATTTAATTTATTTTAATACATTAAAAAAATCTAAACTAGTTCTGAGTGAACAACCCTTAAGGTTGTTAGTGTTGAATGTAACCGTTCTAGAGAAACTTAAGCTTTCTGTTTGTTTACATTTTTAAATGAAAAAAGTTGCAGGTTTTCAATGAGGTCTCAGACTGTTAATTTTTTTTACATTGTTTCTGGCGAAAACGAGATGATAACGAAATAAAAACTCATTTTGAATGACAAAAACTATGAATGAAATTTAAAAACGAGACAAAAATGTTGGGGAGAAAGTGATTTGGGAAGAGATCCAGTTTAATAAAAAATAATAAAATGTAAAAAATAAAATTCAAAAGTAGTTCTGAGTGAATACCCCTTAAGGTTGTTAGTGTTGAATGTGAGGTTGATCTGAGAGCGTAAGGGTTCTATTGTAGGTGCTTTTTGTGGGGTCTGGCTGTCGCCGCTGACCTGACCCTTGGCTCAACGGGACAGTGGGTCAGTGGTGCTGGGCAGCACTGCAGGGAATCCCTTACACACAAAGAGTGTGACCCTGCCTGAACTACGGCTTCAACTCTCACTCGAGATCCTTCCAATTCATTCACCTGAACTCTCCAGACGCATCTGTCCAGTGCAGCCCATATGTCCATCAATCACTGCTCATTAAATCTCCTCAAAAGCTGCTGGGTGTTACAATTTGTTTCCTCTTTTGTCTTGGCAGCTCAACTGAGCATGGTTTCCCCTCCTGTTTTCCATAACCTCCCACACCGATATCCAGCACTAGGACAGAGATGGAGCTCTGGAGAGTTCACACTGATTCACCTCCTGCAGGAAATCCTGGAGGGATCAGGCCGGGAAGAGGAGGGATCGTGGCCCTATCACTTACACTGCACATCTACACGAATGGACTTGATGGCAGCCACCCCCACCCCGTTCTCAGCTTTGCAGTAGTAGCGGCCGCCCTGCACTCTCTGGATGTTGGGGATCCGTAGAGTCTCATTGAAGATGGACGTCTCCTGGAACTTGTCGGAACCGCTGCCTGCTGTCTTGGTCCACCGCACCTGCAGGGGGCGACATGTAGAGACTCATGAGCTAATAATAAATATGAAAAACAATTTATTTTCAGCATGTTTTACAGTTACACTTTATTTTAAGGTGTCCTTGTTACAGCGTAGTTGTTGAATTAACAGAATCGCTTAGCATTTGGTGTCTATTTTGCTTCAATTTGCTTACATTTGATTGTAACCAAGAAAATGTGAACCATCTAAATAATCATTTTATGTCAAAAGTTTTATTTGTTTTAAATTTCTAGAGAAACTGAAGCTTTCCGTTTATTTTTAAATTTAAAAAAAAAAAGTTGCGGACTTTCAATTATGTCTCAGACTTTACTCTATTTGTACATTTAGATCAATAAAAAACTCCGGTCTTAAAAAAATATTTTAAATTAATTTGTAATGATTAAGAAATGAAGAGTTCATTTGCAAAAACCGATAACGCCATTTAAAATTTTTTTTCAGAAATCACGTTTTTTTTTTATTGCGCATTCCAAGTAATATCAATCAAACTGCAGTTGGGTTGTTTTGATTAAGTAATAATAACTTAAACAAATACAGCAGATGACAATGTAGATGTCTGACAAACGTTGTTGTTGTTGTTGTGATCATAAACCGTATGGATGTGATTACACGCAATACACGGAGCTTTTCCCTCACCATTGCTGCTTTTGCAAGGTTCCGTGAAAACGTTTCAGCTTTTATTTTCCTTTCTCGCCCTGAAGAAGATATCATAGGTTCATCAAGTTCGTCGTAACAATATATTATCAAATTATTAAATTTATTAACATTAGTCCAACACCAAATGTTTTTCAATGTCCCTTAAATATAGTTAAACTTAACTATTACTGTAAAGAAAAAAAAAACCTTACTGTAAAGTGTTAGCATATATTCAATATATATTAAATATTGAATTATATTATATAATATACACACATAATATGAATATATGAAAATATGCTTTACAGTCAAGTTCAATTTAATTGACATAATATTTTACTTAAATTAACTTTTTTATTGCGCATTCCAAGTAATATCAATCAAACTGCAGTTGGGTTGTTTTGATTAAGTAATAATAACTTAAACAAATACAGCAGATGACAATGTAGATGTCTGACAAACGTTGTTGTTGTTGTTGTGATCATAAACCGTATGGATGTGATTACACGCAAACCTTACTGTAAAGTGTTAGCATATATTCAATATATATTAAATATTGAATTATATTATATAATATACACACATAATATGAATATATGAAAATATGCTTTACAGTCAAGTTCAATTTAATTGACATAATATTTTACTTAAATTAACACGTCTATCTATCTATCTATCTATCTATCTTCTAAACTGCTTCTCCTCTGTAGGGTCCATGGACTAATGAAGGCAAAATGATAATTAAAAATAAAAACTTCTTTAAAAAGTTCTTTCAGCTACAGGATACACACATTTTTGTATATACATTTGCATACAGCTTTTTTTAACCTTCTAATGAGAAAAGTTGCTATTGTAGATCACAATTCCCTTTCGATTCAAGTGCAATAGTGAGCTAAACCTCTGATCTGCGTCGTCGCCTATATCAGGATCCACCATTGGTTGTGAATGTTCAAAAAATGTCCTGTTTGTTTTCTCAGCAGCCCAAAACTCTGCCATCATTGCGTTGATTCATCGAGGCTCTCAAAGGGCCAATGCTGGCAGATGTAAGACAGATGGCTGCACGGCAATCAGCTCGTTTTTTTTAAAGTGGCGTTTATCGGTTTTTGCAAATGAACTCTTCAAATATAAATGTGTTTTTTAACATTAAAATATTTTAACTGATTTTAATCACAAAATCAGAGCTTGGAATATAAAAATCAAAATAAGAAAACATTATAATATCAATTTATAGAATCATATTTTCAATATGGTTTCAGACTTTATTGTATAAGTACAGTATATGTCCATGAAAAACGTATGATTAAATTGTAATTAAGTAATGTAAATGCGTTTTTATGTTAAAATGTTGATTTAAAATGTTAAAATCATAAAATACAAATATATGAGGAAAAGTCACAGAATTTCAGACTGTATATGTACATACAGACCCATAAATTGATACATCTTTAAATAATAACCATGTAAACATAGAAAAGTTTAATTTCTTTTCTCCTACAAAGTAACTGAATGTAGAGTTAAAAGTGTGAAAAAAAATGTACAGTTCAGCATAAAAAGACTGGTCACAAAGTTGATGAGGATGAACAGTGTGACTCAATAAGTTTGACCCTAACGTAAGTACAGCGGTCAGACTGTCCGTAATCAGAGTCTCATCCATCTCAATCATTCTTTTGACTCCTTCAAACAATCTTTGCATTGAGTAGGTAAGGTCAAGTGAACATCACAAACTAAAGCCTGTGTAATCTCCTACACCTCTCCACCTCTGGACATCAGTAAGCTGCTTCCATTATAGCGGGGTCACCTCTGAACAGGGTGCCACACGGGTGAGCAGCCGATTGGAGCTGGCAGCGCTGGGGGCGGCGGGAAGGTTAGGACGTACGTGCAAAGGATTATGGGATTACACCGACCTGTGTAAACGACAAGCTTAAAAAATGTCCTGTTTGTTTTCTCAGCAGCCCAAAACTCTGCCATCATTGCGTTGATTCATCGAGGCTCTCAAAGGGCCAATGCTGGCAGATGTAAGACAGATGGCTCTGGATAGGCTATCATTACAGCGGCCTCAGACGGCTCACTTACAGCAACGCAAAGTCACAGTGGCACAGAAACTTTCAAAGCCTCGGCGATATGAAGACAAGAGCGTCAGAGACAGAAAGGAGAGGACAGCTGATGGCAACAGACACCGGAATGCTGCAGCTACAGGAAACGCAACAGGGGAAGAAATTGGTCATGAAACAAATGAACCAGAGAAAGAGACAACGCTGCCCTTCTCAACATCAACAGCTGCCACACATCACCATGTTTTACTGCTCCAGAGATCCCAACAGACTGCGCAAACCCTGTCTGTCTGTCTCCCTGTTTCTTCACACAGTCTTTTCTGTCTGCTCTTGGGAAAGAAATCCCATGAGTCTCTGTTAGCTGAACACTAGCGTTCTTCATCCGTCTCTGCTGCAAAATCAGCTTCACAATATGCTGTACAACATTCTGATATGCTTTCCAAATCCCATCTTTCCATTTTGATGATAATGAATTTGGTTCTGTTTGTTCAGACCAAGGGCAGGGTTATCATTATTAACTAAAACTAAAAGTAAAACCACAATCAATCCATCAATAATAAATAAATACAATCTCATTACTTGGCATACAATAAATGTGTTAACACTTTAGTATATGGACCAATTCTCACTATTAACTAGTTGTATCAATTTATAGAATCATATTTTCAATATGGTTTCAGACTTTATTGTATAAGTACAGTATATGTCCATGAAAAACGTATGATTAAATTGTAATTAAGTAATGTAAATGCGTTTTTATGTTAAAATGTTGATTTAAAATGTTAAAATCATAAAATACAAATATATGAGGAAAAGTCACAGAATTTCAGACTGTATATGTACATACAGACCCATAAATTGATACATCTTTAAATAATAACCATGTAAACATAGAAAAGTTTAATTTCTTTTCTCCTACAAAGTAACTGAATGTAGAGTTAAAAGTGTGAAAAAAAATGTACAGTTCAGCATAAAAAGACTGGTCACAAAGTTGATGAGGATGAACAGTGTGACTCAATAAGTTTGACCCTAACGTAAGTACAGCGGTCAGACTGTCCGTAATCAGAGTCTCATCCATCTCAATCATTCTTTTGACTCCTTCAAACAATCTTTGCATTGAGTAGGTAAGGTCAAGTGAACATCACAAACTAAAGCCTGTGTAATCTCCTACACCTCTCCACCTCTGGACATCAGTAAGCTGCTTCCATTATAGCGGGGTCACCTCTGAACAGGGTGCCACACGGGTGAGCAGCCGATTGGAGCTGGCAGCGCTGGGGGCGGCGGGAAGGTTAGGACGTACGTGCAAAGGATTATGGGATTACACCGACCTGTGTAAACGACAAGCTTTGTGTTTATTCAGGTTTATTTGCCTGTGGATTTGGGACACAGCTGCTGTTCATTTATCAGGTGTGGTGGGTGAGAAATTAACACAGAGGAAGGGAGAGAGAGCTCCTGCTGGGAGTAACCTATCCTTTTGGTGGCAAAGGACAGAAAAACTGGTCGAAGGCTGTTTGATGGGGCAAAATCACTAAAAAGTTGAGCCACTTTATTGTGTAGATTGTAGCATAGTAGTCCTCCTTAACCTACAACTCTAGGCAGACCCACAATGTGAGAAGTTGCATTTAAAACTTGTGTTGTGCCATTATCTGTTTTTTTAGATAAAATCCTTTAGTGAGTCAGATACTAAAACAACTAAATAATTTCATAACTGTGCATACCGTTTTTATTAACTCACATCGCTCAAGTACATAAAAATAGTAAAACATTATTTAATATAGAATAATATTATAATATGTAATAAATATGTTATATATATTTCAAGAAATAAAAAATAAACATGTTTTACTGCTCCAGAGATCCCAACAGACTGCGCAAACCCTGTCTGTCTGTCTCCCTGTTTCTTCACACAGTCTTTTCTGTCTGCTCTTGGGAAAGAAATCCCATGAGTCTCTGTTAGCTGAACACTAGCGTTCTTCATCCGTCTCTGCTGCAAAATCAGCTTCACAATATGCTGTACAACATTCTGATATGCTTTCCAAATCCCATCTTTCCATTTTGATGATAATGAATTTGGTTCTGTTTGTTCAGACCAAGGGCAGGGTTATCATTATTAACTAAAACTAAAAGTAAAACCACAATCAATCCATCAATAATAAATAAATACAATCTCATTACTTGGCATACAATAAATGTGTTAACACTTTAGTATATGGACCAATTCTCACTATTAACTAGTTGCTTATTAGCATGCCTATTCTGCATGACCATATTCTACATTCCTAATCCTACCCAATACCT